TGGAAACCAGGAAGTAACATTATCTCATTGACAGATGGGAAATGTAAGGCACACAGAAATCAAACAGCTTACTCAGAGGCACTAAATATCTGTGACAGCATTCCGTACTTTTAACCACTGTATCTGTGCCTCTCTGCTGAAGCAAACACAAAGCCCAAACAAAACAGCAAGGCCCCTTCCATCCTGCAAAGCTGAAACTATCAGTTATTCAGCAACTAATATCAAAATAAAGATGAGACCTTTGAGCCAGGAAATAGAATATCCAATGGGTAAGTTCCCTGCAAAAACATCTGCTTAGTAAAAATGTATCAAATAAAGTTGTGAAAAGCAACTCTTGATTGGTTTTGTCTTTCTTTTTATTTAAAGGGCAGTTTAGTTTAAAGATTTAAAGAAAAACATTAATTCTACTGACAACAATAAATTACAACTAGTTGAGGGAAAAGACAGAGAACTATAAGAAACAAAACTAAAAACTGTAGTAGCACAATTTTATGCCAACTTCAAGTAGCTCCACATAACCCGAGTAGAAAAGTATCTCTGTGTAGAACACAACTAAGATTCTATCATTTGTGTTTAAAATGCTATATCCCGACTGGCTTCCGGGAGAACATGGCGGACAGATAGCAGCAGCTTCGGAGGCTCTCTGAGAAACCGCACTTAAAATCCAGGAATGGTGCCGGGCAAGAAATGCTAAGCAAGGGGAGATATACTTTGCCGACCCAAGAATGAACTCAACTTAAGAGAAACCAACTGGAAACGCAATCCCGGTGATACAACAGGAACAGATAAGGTCTCAGTGTGGAAGCTGGACCTCGCGCCACTGGAAGCTGCGATTTGAATTTCCTGCAGCCGCTGCTGCATCCCAATCAGCGCGGCAAGGAGAGAGGTGCTAAAGCTCTGAGAGTGGGAAGCAGTGAATGGAGTTGAGAGCAGGACTGGCCGGGAGCCCTGCATCAACCTGCGGTGAGTGAGTGGATCGGGGACCCTCCCATAGAGTAGGAGGCTTCAGCAATGACATACTGGGACTGGGCAGACTACCTAACAGGTTGTTGCAGTGACTTCAGTCACATATTCCCCTCTCAAGCAGGATTGGTGGGGAGTGCCTGGCCTGCGTGACGCTGCTAAGACCCAGCAGGCTATCCCAACCCAGGTCCCAGTGCCTGGAGGTGCACCCTAGCAGTGAAGCCTTCGGTAGGTTGACAGGAGGGGTAGGCCCAGCATAGGCTGCCCAGGTCTGTGTCTCCCTAGTACACTGCAGAAGACGGGAACACCTAGCCAGCACAATTCAAACAAACTGTAACCGACAAAGAAAGAAACTGGGCCTCCAATATACGCTTGTATATAAGGAACAAAAAATATGGGAAGAGGGAGCAACAAGAAAGGGTCCTCAGCCCCCAGTCCTAAGAAACATGCAATATCAGACACGGCACCAATAGACATAAAGCGCTATCTCCAGAGCCTCATAGACAAGTTCAGGAATGAAGTTATTAACGAACTGAAGCAAGATAGAAGTAGAATAGTTAGAGAAATGCTAAGCACCGCCCAAGAAAAAACAGATGGTGGAATAGAAGAACAGAAAAAAAGGGGAGAATTGTTTGATGGAGAAAACAGAGAAAACATAGAATATGTGAAGCAGGTTCAAAGAGATTACCAGGAAACTAAAAACTCTATTGAAAACTGGCATAACAGCTTGAAAGAAACTAAGGATAGATTATCTGAACTGGAGGGCAGACTTGTAATATGGGAGCATGAAATGAAAAACTTCTTAAAAATAACAAGAAAACAAACAGCAACAATACAAAGGCTAGAAGATGATAAGAGGATCTATAACTTAACAATTAAGAACATAAAAGAAGAAGTAGGGACACAAACAAATGGACTACAAAAGGTATTCACAGAAATAATCCAAGAGAATTTCCCTAATTTAGCAAATGGTAAAGATACTCAGATGTACGAGGCATACAGGACCCCAGCCACTTACAACCCAAACAGAGCTACACCCAGGCATATAGTAATCAAAATTCCAGAAATCCACTATAAGAACAGAATATTAAAAGCCGTCAGAGACAAGAAAATCACTTACAAGGGAATACCCGTCAGAATTACAGCAGACTTCTCGGCACAAACCATCAAATCATGAAGAGCACGGGGGGAAATAATTCAAGCTTTGAAAGATAATAACCTCCAGGCAAAATTGATACATCCTGCACAACTGTCCCTAGAAATTGATGGAAAAACAAGATGCTTCCAGGATAAAGAGGAACTAGGGGAATTTGCAACCACCAATTCAACTCTACAGAGAATACAGTAGGATATTTTTTAAAAAGGAAAATACCAAGATCCCAGAAACAGTGGCAAAGAGGCCACAGTGAATGGAGCAGAAAGCGAAAAGAAGAAGACAAACTGACAACTAATGACAGAGCTGAACAGAAATGAGGCACAGAAGATCGGATGGTAGGAACAGCTATTTTGGAGAAAACAAGACATCATAATAGCTAGTGCTGATCTAGTATCATCTTGTTTTGAAGTCCCATCAAACTTGTATTCTTCTGTCTCCATCGGTTTTAAAAGGTTGTATCTTATTGGATTTTATGATATATGATAATATAAGTAAAAACTTTTATAGACAAGGAGATTATACAGAAACCATTGTTCATTTTCTGTTAATTGTAATAATGTCATTCTCTTGAATGGTTTTATAGTGTCTTGATGTGTTTGGTGCTACAGTATATGAAGTTATACTCAAAAGATTTCAAGGAAAGAGACACTATGGTAACTATTTTTATGTCAGGAAATCTTGTGGTGAAACACTATTGTGCTTAAATGGTTATGTTTTGACCTGCACTGTTCTGTTGTTATGCCCTCTTTTATCTCAATTCCCCCCACCCTTTTTTTATTTACTTTTTTCTTTTTAATTAAGGGAAAAATAAATAAAAATAGCAGGATACATTATAGTATATAACCTACTTTGATTTCCTATTAACTTGATTTGAAATCCTGTATTGCCCTCACCATCTTGTTTTGACTGATTGACTTGATAGTACCAAGTTCTAAAGTACAGGCAAAACTGTGAAGACAATAAGATTCATTATGATGCCCATTCTGGTTGACTATTATCTTCTTTTAAAGTCCTGTAATGTCTCCAATGCTTTGGTTTTATTCTTTACTGTTTTGTTCAATTTTATTATAACTGGCAATTCTTCTTAAAATAGCAAGAGGCAGTATGGTAACCATCGTTGATCACCTTGTATTTTGTTTTTACATTATTATGCCTATCCTTTTGATTTGACTCTGTTCTGATATGTCACATTTGGTTTTATTCTCTTCAAAAAAAGTAGTAAGAACTGTGGGAGTAATAAAACCCAAAATGTGTAATTATCATTGTACAAAAGAAAAGAAAGTGCTCTAAAGTTTATAACTGCATATATGTTTAAGTGTATAAGATAGATAACCATATCACTGAGTTTTTTTGGATCACTGAACAGAACTGTTTGCACTCTGTTTGAAAATCCACTTTATATGCTTCAATTTTGTAACTTGAACAACTATTTCTAAGATAGAATATGTAATATATTAACTAGTGATTTCTTACTATTTATTTTTTAAATTTTGTATTACTTGTACCCTTTTTCTGTTTTTTTTCCTTTTTCTCCTTAAATAAAAAAAAAAGTGAAAAAAAATAAAATAAAATGCTATATCCCATCTGCAGGCAGGTGCTTAATTCCAAGTTAGGTAAGAAGAAAAAATACTAATGGTTAAAGGCAGAGCTAATAAACACAGTACAAAAACACTAAGTATTGCTGAACATGTAACATTTCCCCTTTGCTTGGAGTAACTTTAATTATTCAAAAGACTCATAATTGAGTGAGGTATGGTGGTGCGTGCCTATAATCACAGCACCCTGGGAGACTGAAGCAAGAGGACAGTAAGTTTGAGCCCAGGCTGGGCAACCTACTGACTCTGTTTCAAATCCTAAAACATAAAAGAGAGGTGCAGCATGGGATGTAGTTTAGTGTGAAGGGCCTGAGTTCCATCCCTAGTACTAGAGAAAAAATACAGTTTTCCTTTTTTAGATATTACTCACGTCTACATCTGTAAAACATCTTTCTTCATCTTTTTACATAGTTACATTTCCTATACTTCATCTTTTTGTCTGAAGTACATGTAAACTGAAAGATTTTATTTTTAATTTTTCTTGAAGGCATATATTAAAGCACAACTGTACTGTTTAATGTCATTCGCTGTTCATGCTTCACACCTTTAAATTTCAGTGATAATTAACAAGATAATTCACAAAACTGAATAGTCAAAGAACGTTTTTGCTATTTTTATGCTTGACACATATTTTTTGCCCTTAGCTAAGCTGTACCATCACACCTTTCATACGATGTTTCCTTCCACCAATCACAAAGGGAAAAGAAAAGTGGAAGCAAATTTAACAGTTTTTCAGAACCAAGCACTATTGTCCCCAGGATCTCATTTGATCTTGAAATGTTCTATTCAGATTTCTATATCCTATCAGAATTTTTCCCCTTCAATGAAAGACATAGGTTGGTCTGTTTCTGATGTCATCCAAACAGGTAATCCAGAATCATTTCATTTAGCCTACCCAAAGAGAACGTTGTGTAGACACCAGACTTATCACAAAGAAATTAAAATGTCTTCTAATTTCTTTAATTTTTACTCAAACCCCATAATTCTTAACTTAAAAATCATTTCTAAGACATTTAGCCAGAGTCAAAAGAATCATGATGTGTTATGTTCGTGTAACAACTCACTACAATGACTATAATCATTATATATTGCGAACATGTACTAATAAAAATTTTAAAATATAGCTTAAGTAAAAAGTCAAAAACTGCCACTATTTTTCCCACTTGTTCTGAAAATGCATTATAGTCTCTCTTAAAACAGTAACTGTTACATTTTTAAATCCTAGGTAACTGAGCACTGACTCACACCTAGGAACTGACACAGCAATGAGACACTTGTGTACTTACCAGCTTCTCAATTTCTGATTCGAGATTCTGTATGCAGTCAAGTTTTCTCTTTCGGCACCGCTGTGCAGCAATTCTGTTTTTATTTCTTCTGCGAATATCATGGATACAATCCAGTTGTTCAGGGGTCAGTTTGTGCATTTTTACCAAGGATTGAAAATCGTTTCGAGACAGTGAAATTATATATTGTGCATTAAAGGGCAGTTTCACCTAGAAGGTGAAATAAACATGAATAATTGCTATTTTATAATTATATTTCAACCTGGAAAGATAAAGAAATATATCTCATTTTTATCATAGAGCACAGATTTTTAAATGGTCCCTATCCTTAGTTTTTATACAATCCTTTTTAAAAAACTAACAGTAAATAGTAAACGTTTAGCCTGAGAGGATTCAGAAGATAAACTAAGAAGTTAGTGTCTTTCACCAAGTCAGACATAATAACAAAACAGAATGATAGAATCTAAAATATTTTACTATGCATGTTAACACCCTACAGAGTTCTTTCTTTCTCAAGTATTTTAATTATTTTTCTCAGTCAAAATGAAATACATTTTATTCTTTAAATACTACTATGTAGCACTGATTTAATGTTGGTATAATTATATTAGCAATTTCTAAACCACTTTGGAAAATGTATTTTTTTGTCAAAATGATAGCTTCATATATATCTCATTTTAACACATTATACTTGCCAATGTAGAAAAAAATCTTTTTAAATCTTATTAATATTTTAGAGTCATTTTCAACCTACTTAATTTTTAAAAAAGGAAAAATTGACTTTTTTAAATAAGAAAATTATGGGAGTTTAATTAACAACACAAAAGAAATATTGGTCAGTTAGTCTGGCAACCTAATCAGCTTCCCTTTCAAGCCTACACAAATTACTCATAGAAAACCTCTTAGTGATGTTATTTTTAACATTTTTTCACAGTATAATTTTAAATGATTAATTTATAATGTCACATAAATACATAGATGTAACCCATATCTACCTATTATTTTTAAATTAAATCACCAATCCACTTCAAGAGAAAAAAGAAAAGGCCACTTTCAAACTTACATCATCTAAATGCTAACTACAAAACAAAAGAAAATGCTAAAGGGTGAGATGTGGAAAAACTACAATTCTTTGTACATTGGTAGTGTAAAAACAGTGCAAGTGCTAAAGAAAACAGTCTGAAGGTTTCTCAAAAACTGAAAAATAAAACTAACATACGATCTAGCGTCCACTACCCGGCTTGGGTTGGCAGACGTGTCTCAGAGGGACAGCTGTGCTTCCACATCCACTACAGCCCAGTTCATAGCAGCTGAGATACAGAAACAAACCAAGTATCCAGGCACAAACAGAGAAGATACCGTGTCTAACCCAACAGAGTCTACCTCAGTCTTATCAGAAGAAAGAAGTCTTGCATTTTACTACAGCATAGGTGAACCTGGAATACATCACGCTAACTGAAATACACAAAAAAACCCCCTGTGATCTCAAGAATGAGGCCCACAAACAGGAGTTACTAAAAATAGCCAAATTCCTAGAAACAGAGAGGAATGGTGGTACATGGAACTGGAAGGGGGAGAATAACGAGTTACTTTTCAATGAATAAAGTTTCACTTGTTTAAGTTCTAGCCACCTGCCTACACTTAATGTTCTTTTTTACACTTAAAATTTTGTTACAAGGGTAGCTGCCACCTTATCACCATAAAAAAATTAAGTGCAAAGAAAAAAAAATGTTTTTTAAAAATTGTAAAAAGTACAAGTTCCAACTATAAAGAGAAAATTTAACTTCAGAAAACTAAACCAAAATCTAATTTTTAAGCACTCACCATGTTCACAACAGGGCAGTTAACTCACAAATCTCTCTGCCAGGAAGCCTAAGCCACAAGACTGTCCATTGAGTGGCTTATTAATTTATTAGTAAAAAGCCTGATAAGAGTGAATAGATCCATTTGTACCATCAGTGCTGCCCGAAGAGATGGTCATGCACATACCACCAGTGGTTCAAGCTGGTTGGAACAGGTTAAAAGGAGAACAGGCTCTTATATGGGATTATTTTAATATTTTATAAAAAGCAGCTACTAAACACAAACATCTATATACAGAGTATACAGATCAAGTTTGGTATAATTAATAACATACTAGCTACATGGAACTCTTTAAGGTATTAAGATTCGTTAAACTGAAAGTTACGATGGCTAAAAGAAAAAGAGGGCGGGGTTAAAGCAGAAAAAGGAAAAAGCAAAGGCCATAAAGAAACAGGTCCAAGAAAACTGTGTTACAAACCACATTCCTACAATTAGTCACTGCCAAACAACTGCTCAGTGACTAATCCCAGGTCCAGAGGTCCTTGTGGCAATGAGTAACGCTGAATATATCATACATTTTATCAGGAGATGTCAAGTAATGATGGAGCAATCATTACTGTTTCCTCTTGGGACATGACATTTGACTTAAACAGTTATACAGCCAGTGTGAATCTATTCATGGTTGATAGAAACAAACTACTTGAAATATATGAACTGCAAAGTCTTTCAAACTTCATCTCATTCTTCTGGTATTTGTCACATGGTCCTGTAATTAACAGTGTCTGAGCTCCTTCTCCCTGCCTGAGCCTGCTCAGATCCCTAGTGGTGCCCTGGGAGCTGAGTCAGTAAACCCTGATTAACGGTTGCTAAGACAATGAATTAAGAATATACCCCTGCTCACCTCGCATTCCTGTTCTCTGGCTGAGCAGGATTCACTGTCGCCTTCTGTGTCTGTCTCAGAGTCATCGCCCAAGCTAATCACACAGGCATACGGACAAGGTTCCTGCTGTTCTGAAACGTAACTGTCGTTTCCAATTTCCAAATTGCTTGAACACCCTTCTGTACTCAGAGTACTCATAAAAGGACAGTTGACAGAACTCAGTGTTGTAAAAGTCCTCTGCCCTGGTTCTGGGCTCTCGCTGATTCTGATACCTAACCAGGGACACTCAGACCGTTTCTGAGAGTAGTTCTGTTGTGAGCCGTCTTTGGCCACAGCAGGTGACAACTTCATTTGGCAAGGAGCGTCCGTGCTGCACACGTCACTCCAGAAGCCTTTGGCTAGGTGCTCCGCTACTTCTCGCTCCACGCTGCTCCGACCGCTGGATGCCAGGCTGCTGTCTTCCTTGGGGCCTGAAGCATCTTTCAAGTGTAAATTTTGACTTTCACTAAACGTTTTCTCTTCTGGAGCACCTGTACCTGACAAAGGCTTTTCTGCTTTCACTGCTGTGCCTTGCGTAGCAGCAAAATTCAAGTCACTGTATTGGTCATACATGTGTAAAAGAGATAGAGAGTAGAGCCCATGAGGGTCTGTAGAGCCATGAGGGAAAGGAGTCACTTCTGCTCTCTCTGTTAGGACCTGAGAAGCAGGCTCTTTCTTCTTGGCTGCCTCATGTTCCACTGCTAACTTGCTTTCTTCACATTTTAAAATCACCTGTAAATCTGCACAATCCTGGACTCCCGTTAGACAATCGTTTTCAGATGTCTCATTTGGCGGGGCAGGAGCAGCTTGAACGTCTTTGACGCTGGATTCCACTGTGCGGACTCGGTCAGTTCCAAATGCCTTCTGGAATTTTCTGTATTTGGGGCATAAAGACGGCAAAGCCAGAGTAGCGTTTTTTTCCATGCACATGGATTCGTATGTTTGGCTGGCACTGTCTTGTAGGGGAGGTGGTGTTTTTACATTTTCTTGATCCCTTTGGAGTTTACAGTGAGAAGTCTGAACATTTCTATCCTCCAGAAATTCCTCTACTTCATCGATTTCTAGATCCTTCTGGTCTGAAAGTGAAATTTTAAGGTCTGTTTTCTGACAATGTGATGGAAAGCACTTTTTTCTTGGGCATTCTTGCTGGTTTACAGTGGAGTCTAAAAATTTGTATTTGAGAAACTGAAAGCAGGATTCCTCAATATTGTGTACATTTAAAAATTCCACACATTTGCACACTTCATCCACATTGTCTTTACTTAAAATTAGTTTAGCAGTATAGGCAAACTGAATTAAAGGTTCAAATCCTTTAACTGTCACCTGTTAACACACAAAATAAAAATAACATCACTTGAAAGCTCTCTAGTAGATGAAAACAAGAGAAGCAGAAAGGGGATAGAGAAATGTATAATGCCTCTGTAACAATTATAAAATAGATATTGTAATTTGATATGAAAAATATTTTTCTAGGAAATGTAAAATTAAGAGAGGTTAGACACACAAACTTACCACACCCTATGCACTGGAAATAGGCCCTCCACTTTATAGAATCCACTCTTAATCACACATCAGTTATGGCTTACTCATATAATCTAGACAATCTTCCCATGACAGAGCCAACAAACCATGGATGAAATTAAGTGCGATCGACTCCACACATAGCCCATGTTGTACAGGAAGTGCCGGGCATCTTACGCTACACCACCTCCACACAGCCAAGCAACATAACTGCTACAACTACAACAGCAGAATTTTTAAAGGTAAAAACAATTGGGCCGGGGATGTAGCTCAGTGGCATAAGCGCCTGCCTGACTAGCACAGGCCAAAAAAAAAAGATAAAAATAATTAAGTAAAACACCTGCAAAGAACTCTTGCTTCATGCACAATAAGGTAACTACAGCATCTCATGCCAAAAATTTCTAGTAATAAAATTTTAAAAGACTGAGATTTTAAAAGTAATTTGGTGAAGCTCTGAAAACCACATCTCAATAATGTTTCTACCTGGGGGCAGGGAAACAGCTCAGTGGCACAAGTGCCTGTCTGGCAAGCATGAGGTCCTGAGTTCAATTTCTAATTCAAGAAAGAAAGAAAGAAAGAAAGAAAGACAGACAGACAGACAGACAGACAGAAAGAAAGAAAGACAGAAAGACAGACAGAAAGACAGAAAGACAGAAAGAAAGACAGAAAGAAAGACAGAAAGAAAGACAGAAAGACAGACAGAAAGACAGAAAGAAAGACAGAAAGACAGAAAGAAAGAAAGAAAGAAAGAAAGAAAAAAAGAAAGAAAGAAAGAAAAAAACCACCTAGATCCTTCCTGGATTGCACCTGACAAAACCTCAGGCAAAAACCTGTAAACGGAACATCCTCTGTGAGGGGAGGGGCAAATGGAACCTGCTCCAATGTAGAGAAAGCTTCCTTCTGAGTTACTAGACAAAATTGATTTCAAAATACTGAGTTCCTACAGGAGAGACCAAAATATTTTTAAATTATTTTGTGATTTTTTAAAACTCAAGCTAAGCTTTGGATATTTAACTAACTGTTAAATGATTAAAATGAAAAACAGTCATACCAACAAATGCTACAGAGAAACTGTATCTCTTGCATTAGTGTCACGGGAACGTGAAATGGCACAGGCACTTTGCATAACAGTTTGTTGCGTTCATATAAAACTGAAATTCAGCTACCATATGACCAGCGATAGCAGTCTTCACCCTCCTTAAGAAGTGAAAACTTATGTTCACACAGAAAGCTGTACCCAAAGGTTCACAGCAACTTTATCTGGTACAGTCAAAAACTAGAATTAGTTTCATCTACTTAAATATATGAAATGCTAACCAAAAAAATTGATTTATTAATATCACCGACTACTACTCAGCAATAAAAAGGAACAAACTATTGATAAACAACTCATAAATCTCAAGGCAATTATGCTAGGTGGAAAAAAGTCAACTCTAAAGGTACATACTGTGTACATTCATTTACATAACATTTCTGAAATGAGAAAACTCTAGATTAGTGGTCGCTGACAATTAGGGGTAGACAAAGGGGATAAGGGAGTAAGGGACAAAGGCAGGAAGGTCTTTGGGCACTGCAACTGTTCAGTACTTTAACTGTGGTAGACACCAAAACCTCCAGAGAAGAAAACTGTAAAAACTTAATGCATACACACAGGAATCAGTGCAAATAAAATGGCAGCAATCTGAACACCAGCACTGAGCTGTATTAACATCCATATCCAGCTATAACATTATACAGTTTTGTTTTGTTTTGCTTTTCAAACTGTTACTACTGGGGGATATTGGTCAAATTGTGAACTCTGCATTATTTTTTATAGCTGTGTAAGTATTTATACCTATCTTACCAAGATTTCAATTTCAATTTTCTGAAGTTAGTTAAAATAACCAAAAAAGAATGTTAAGCCAGTAGGTTATACTACAGTGTTCACAAGCTGTCACTATAAGACTTCAAATATTTGAAAACTTAAGATCTATACTTGAAATCAGAATGAATACATTACATGCATGCATACATGTATCTCTTCTCACAAATGCATTTGTTCTAGTCAGAAAGTCTCATTCAGTATTTCAAAAACATGAACAATAATACTGAGTACGTCACCATTATGATTTGTGTTCCTTTGCAAAATCAATGGCTAGTCTACAACTGACCTTTTTATTGTCATTTCTTGCTATTCTTTCTTTCATTTTGATCTCTGCCACAAAAGTGATAATCTATTCACTCTCAGAACACAGCCAAAATTTCATGTTTAAATATGTACAGTTAACAACAAGCTATACCGTAATTTAGTTTACAGTTTATCTAACAGTATCTAACAGGGAACACCTTACACAGGTCACACACAAGAAGTCCCACACACTCTCCACATTCCCCTTAACCACTTCTGGGTCCCAAATGTCTAGCAGCACTTAGCAACTAAATAAAGCAACCTGTTTGAGTAACAGTCAATGTAATCAGCACTCCTCTGCCCAAGAGAGAGATCTCTTGGAGCCAAGACATTAACAAAGCTGTAAATATTTATGATCTTCAGCTCCACAACAACCTACAGAAAAGATGTATGTACAGCCTAGGCTCCATAAATAAGACATAATTTATTTCTTCTACCAAGACATATAGACATTCTCAAGTAATGAGAAAAGAAGACACTTATTATGGGGCACCTATTTTCATGTGAGAATATTTTGGGAAATGATTTATAGAACCCTAAACCCAGACACAGCAACCCATCAGAGGACAAGGTCCAGAGGGAGAGAAAGTCACACAGCACCATCTCTCAACCATGACCTTTCCAAGTGTTTAATACACTGGGTGTGCACCAACTTAAGTCATTTTATTAAAAATAACCCAACAGTGGGACAAGTTATTCCACTGCTCAATAAATGTCAACATCCAAATCTAATGATTTTACATGTAAATATAACCACTGCTATGAAAAAAGACAAACAAATGGATTGTTGTTAAGAAACTAAGACATGTTACCCAGTCTCCTGTCTGGGGGAACTGCTTTACTTTCAACTTTATAAGCCAAAAAAAGTTTGAATAAAACTAAATCACAGTCACAGGAAACATGGACCGCTCACCTCTTCTGGCAGAGTAATGCTAAGCTCCGAGTCAGACTGGCCTATGATTCTGGAGTGGAAGTAACTGCTGCACGCAGCCAGCACCGAGCGGTGGGCCCGGAAGCGCTGGCCCTCCACCAAGACGGTGACGTCGCACAGCACATCCTTCTTCCGCTGCTCATTGAGGCTGAGCAAGATGTTGGTGCTGTGCACTGAAGATTCATAGGCAAACACTGCGCTCTCACTCAGAGACATCCTGCACGGGAAGTGGCGTCGGGAAGTGCAGTGGAAAGCATGCTTCTAGTCCTCAGCAACCTGCAAAAACACAAGATTCCACGTAAATAGAATCTTCTCTCAGAATGTGTGTGTGTTAACTTGTCTGTTTATTACTTTTTTGGTAAGAATTTGTTTAGGTTTATGTCTTGTGCTCTGAGTAACTACACTGAAGTTAACAGTATACAGTGTATTTTTTACCTTATTTTGTTAAGAGATTTTAACTTTTCATAAAATAAGGTAGACAAGTGTCAAGATACAAAATTAGAACACAAAAATCAGCAGCATTCCTACATACCAATGAACCCAGAGAGAGAGAAATCAGGAAAATAATTCCATTCATAATAACCTCAAAAAAATAAAGTACCTAGGACTCGGCTAGCCATGGAGATAAAAAGACTTCTACAGTGAAAATCACAGACAGCTGAAGAATCAAACAAAATGAAAATACCTCATGTATCCATGGGTTGGGAAAACTATTATTTTGAAAATGACCATATTACCAAAAATGTTCCTCATTGAACTAGAAAAAATAATCCTAAAACTCATATGGAGTCAGAAAATGCTCAGAATAGCCCTGAGCACATCTGCGCAGAAGTGGGAGGCTAGAAGCCTCACAAAGCGGGATCCAGCATTATACTACAAAATTACAGTAGCAAAAACCACATGGTGCTGACACAAAAACAACAGACTGATGGCATAGAGCAGAAAAAACAAACCCGTGCATCTACATCCATCTCATTTTTAACACGTAGGCCAAAACATATACTGGAAAAAACAGACTCTTTTTCAAAAACAGTACTGGGAAAATTGGATATCCACTTGCAAAAGATTGAAACTAGATCCCTATTTCTCACCCTGTACCAAAATCAAATTAAAACAGATAAAAGAAACTTTTAAATTGCTGGAAGATAACATAAGGGAAACACTTGAAGCTAGGCAGACTTCCTGAACAGGATTCTAATAGCAAAGGAGATAATGTCAAGAATCAACAAATTAAAAGGCTCTGCACAGCAAGGCAAACAACAGAGCAAAGAGGCAATCTACACAGTGAAAGAAAATCTCTGCTAGTTACTCTCCTGTTAAGAGGATTAACCTCTACAATAAGAATTGAAAACAATCCAATGAAAAATGAGCAAATAAAATGAATAGTACTTCTCAAAAAAGGCACAAACAGCCAAGGTACGTGAAACAAATTCTCAACATCTTGAGCCATTACAGAAAAGTAAATTAAAACTACTCTTGCGATTTCACCACAGTCAGAATAGCTGTCATCAAGAACACAAAAAACAAGGAACTCGGGCATGGATGAGGGAAGAAAACAAGCCCTCCTACATTGCTGGTGGGCATATAAACTAGCCGTGTAGTGACTACAGAAACTGGTCTGGAGATTTCTCAAAAAACTGAAACTAGAAATACTATTTGATCTAGCTATACTATTGCCCAAATTAAAGACAGCATAGTATAGTGATACTATATATCCCTGCCTATAGTAGCACCAATCACAACAGCTAAGCGCACGAACGGATTTCTTAAAATGTGGGATATACAAAATGGAAATAATTATTCATCTGCAGAGAAGAATGCAACTTTGTCATCTGTAGGAAAGTGAATGGAACTAGCATGGACTAGCATGTCATGCAAAATATGCCAGATTCACCTAAATAAATAAATTCAACAGATGACGGGAAATTAGAAGATACACTTGTATAAAGAAAGGGTCAAGGGAGGGGAGAGGGGACAAAAAAAAAAGGGAGGGTAGGTAATGGAACTGAAAATGAGCAAGATAAATTCACTACATGTATCAATTTCCCAAAACTTCATTAGATATTACTAACATGTTTTAATAAACAAATTTTTAAAGGCCAAGTGTCAAAATAAACTACAATATATACTCATCACTGAAACAAAATGGAAACAAAAACCTCCAGAAGAACCACCTGGCTTTATTCAATATATCTCAATTAAACTTGATTCTAGGTAGCAGTCTTCTTAAGTTTACAGAGGTTTTTAGGGAGAGGAAGAACTTTCTGAACCAAGGATTCCTTGGCTCTCTACAAATGAAAACACTGAGAGTCAATAGATGGGGCCAGGAAATTTTGGGGTGGCATCCCAACCTGTTAATTTAAGATACTTAGTAAGTAGGAAAGGAAGACTGAACTTTGGGATAAACTAACGTGCATATGATGTCACACCTCTTCCATGCCCTATTTTGCAGTAACTGACAGATCACACAAGGTTCAGTGCTTAAATCAGGAGACACTATTCTATACAAGGTTAAACTCTTCCAGCACTGGAAGAAAATAACTCACATTTGTCACACCACATCTTAGTATTCAGTCATTTTACATACAAGTCTTACTTTTACTACAACAGGTAGGTGATACTACTTTATCATTAACAATACTGATTTATCAAAAGTAGAAAACTCTTGGTTTTCTCAAAATGTTAAAATATGAGATGGTTATTAAAAATATAATTGTATATTTATTAAAAATGTATACTAACGTGTATTAGCCTCCAAACATTTTCAAATTTCATGTATAGTACTGGCAGAAAATGGTACCTCCCAACACGTGTATGGTTATCTACGTACTTTTTTTTTTTTTTTTGGTCTTTTTCGTCTTTTTTGTCTTTTTTGTCTTTATCGGTACCAGGGATCGAACTCACGACTGCCTGCTTGCAAGGCAGGCACTTATGCTGCTGAGCTAAATCCCCAGCCCCGGTTATCTACATACTTTAAAGATGTATGACAACTAATGAAGTATATGCTATAGAACACACAAAAATTGAAAAACATCCAAAGAAAAGATCTGTATTTTCTCCTGGTACCCCATGGCTTGTGGCACACAGCCCTGAGTGTGTGCCCCCCACTTGGGACAATCACAGAGGGAAGTTCCTCTCCTATACACTCCTCACTACAGCAGGTCTGCATCACCCACTTCTGAAACAGAGGAGCCTTCAACTGGTCAGCTGAATAAAAAGTCACTCTTTTCAGATTTTCTATACTCCAGACAAAAATGAGAGGAGAAAAATGAATTACTAAAGTTCACAAAGACCAGCCTCAGATCTTGGGTGGATTCCACATCACAAACATGTTGCAAACACATGTGATGCATCTATAAATTATCTTGTACTTGTGCTTATTTTTAAAGTCCTCAATATAGTTAAAATGTTAAGCTCCTCAAAAGTAGTCAATGAAAATAAAATACCTCATTATGTGGTTAAACTTTCCGTAGGTGAAGGATCACAGTCTGTCATTTACTGACTCAGCGTACCACATAAAATCACTGGTAACTTCAAAATCAAATATAAGAACAAACTTAACTTTTGAGTTATGTCGTTCCAGAACAGTAAGTTCCTATTAGCAATCACTCTGTGTACTTCAGTTATTAACGCAAGGAATTAGTGTTAGGAATAAAAGGGAGGAGATATCATTCAAAGACATCATGTTACCTTTTGTGGGGGCCACTGCAAGGACCACTGCCCTCTTCTTTCTCCAAAGCAACACACACCACCCAGAGCATACTGGTCTCATCAGCCAAGACAGACTCAGAGTGAGCCCACCTGCCCTCCTGTGTCCCTGCACCCAAGTCCCCAGGTCTCCTTTTCTTTCATCTGACTTATAGACCTCTGAAAATACAATGCTTACAAGCCCTTACTCTGCTGAACATAGTATAGCCTAGAGACAGAGAAGGGCAATTCATATTAAGCATTTTTAACTGTTCCATTATTGTACTTCCAGTTATTATCTGCTAAATGCACAATACAGAGGTCCTCCAGGAGTGTGGACAGCAGATATTATTAAAGACATATGTTTGAGAATAAGGAAATCAGCCTCATAGAAAGTCAAAACAAAATGAACTAGAGCTGAGCTGCAGAAAGAGGATTCTGTGCCCTGAACACCTAAAGCCTATTTGGATTTCATTAGCCTCCAGCAAAAACTGGCTCCCGTACCATCACTCTAGAGCTGCGGGTGGTTCACCACCATGCACCTGTGGCCTTGTGCTTTTCATCCTGCTACCAGCTACTGACGATGATAATGATGATGATGAAGATGCTGATGACCCTGGACCAACACGGATACCACACTTGCTGTTTTACGAATGACTTGGAATTTTTAGTACAGATCCAAAAACCCAAGTCACCGACAGCCCCTTCCAAACACAGTCCAGTGAGCTATCACTGTATAAATGGAAATGCCACTGAGCCAAAATACAGAGTTCTTAGATGACTTTTCCAGAGAACTGAAGGACACACAGGAGCCTGGCTCACCCCTGTGGGAACTACAAACATACCTGCAAGACAGCTGCCCCAAAAAGAGTGAGGCAACTATAAACACAGCAAGCACAAATCACTTGGACGAATGCGGACTGCTCTCCCCTGGCTTCCATTAGCATTGGGCATTACAGAAATGCGCTCTGAAAATGAATTCTCCTAATTTTGAAAACTAAGTGGTCAGTAGTCCATCTTACCCAATAACTTAGCTATGTAATGACCATAATAGTAAAGAATAACAGAATTCTTTCCAACATCCACCCAGTACTTTCCAGTATTTTCTCAGATTTAAAAAGTAAAACACAAACACTCCAGTCTTCCACATCTAAAATTCTACTGATTCATTACTACCAAATTTAGAATCCTAATGTCACATATGAATTTTTCTTACACTCTTGGAAATATTTACTATTGTAATTCAAAAATAAAGAGTGCTAATCCTAGCAAAATGCTGATTCATTCATTAATGTTACAAGAATGAACAGACATTTTAAAGCTTCTTGTACCTCAATTAGGTACAAGCTCTCTATTCCTTACTCAGAAGTTTTAATATAGTAGCCACTTGGATTTGCTTTTAAAATATTACAGATGATAAAAGAAAATAGGGTGGCTTTCTCATAACATAGTAAGTTTACAGATACTATACTTAAGAAAAAAAACTTAAATGTTAAACATCTGACCTTGGAACCAAGTCTACAATATTTTATATACTCGTAACTCAAAAGGTAACTCTGAAGATAAAGTTCCAGGTATACAAAAGAAGT